AATTATCCTTTTAGTACACAGGGATCCGGACCACATACGGGTCCTCAGGAGCAAGTCTGGACCCAACAAGTGGGCCGCCACCTGCCAGACCCCCTCACCTTTGCCGTGACGGCCCTGAGTGGGTGGGGCTTCAGGATGTCAGGAAGAGTGAAAGGGATTGTTGGTGACCCAAAGCCACACTGGGCAGATAAATTGCCAGCTGGTCCCCAAATCTGTTTCTGCTTCCTCCTGGGGGCACAGCAAGGCCACACCTCCCCGCCTTCCCGGACACGGAGCTGTGGCCACGTGACTGAGCAGAAGCAGCAGGTGTAATGTGCGTCTCCTCCCGGGCCTGACCCACAGAACCCACCCCTTCGTGACCCCGCCTGTTGGCCACCTTCCACCACAACTGAGGAAGTCACCTGGGGAAGGGGACGAGGCCCTGGAGTAGCGCTTGCCGAGGAGCTGCCCACCCACCAGGAACACTGGTTTGTAACCTTAAGTGAAGGACAAACACATTTCTGTGTTTATGGAGGTTACCCATTACAGCAACTGGTGGTACCTCAAGAAACACTGGAATGTGAGCACATCTGCACCTCTGTGATTCTAAGCTAAAAGCGTAGGTCTGAGTGAGTGTGTCTGTGTGTCTGTGGACTTGAGCCTGTGAATGCCTCGGAGGGTCTCGTGTATGTGTGCATGGGGGCCGGGCCTCAGGAGGGATGCGCGCCTATGGGGTGCGTGCACGAGCTGCTTCCGTGGGCTGAGCACGTGTGGGCATCTGGGGATCTGAGTACACGTGTCCGCGGGCACCTGAACAGCCGTGTGTGCTCACTCGGAGGCGGGCACTTTACTGGGTCTGAACATGTCTGTATGGCCTGAGGGCGTGAGAATAGGGGGCCTTCCCCGCGCAGCTCAGGTGTGCATCTGAGCACAGGAGTAAGTGTGTCAGTACCTGCGAGGGCCCATGTGGGCCAGTGTAGACACCAGTGTGTGTGTGTGTGCGTGTGTGTGTGCACTGCCCTAGGACTGTGTGTGCCTTGAGAGGGCTGAGCATGGGTGTGGCTCCCAGCATGTGTGTGAGTCTGAATGTATGTGCCTCTGAGTGTGTGTGTGTGTCTCTGAACACATGGGCGTGAACGTTAAGAATGGGCCTCTGCAAGTCTGAGCTACGGGGAGCGTCAGAGGGTCCCCTCTCATGGGGCCACGGGAGGGGGGCAGGTGTGGGTCTAAATGAATGTCTGAATGAGCATGGCCCCCGGGCTCTGGCGACACACAGCCCACCTCTGAGGACCTGTGCACACGTACCCTGGGGATCTCGGCACATAGATGCACGTGGGCGCACCTCTGTGGGAATGAGCCGCACGTGCTGGGACATGACATCCCTCTGAGGATGTTTGTGCGTCCCGGTGCCTATGAACTTATTCGCGGGACACTGTAGGTCTGAGCATGAGTGCAAACTTGGGTGGAGCTGTGCCACACACACCTCTGAGCCCGGGCACAGATGCATGCTTCCCTGAACTCATGCAAATGCGTGCGCCCACACCTCGGAGATCTGAGCACACTGTTCTGAACATGCGTACACGGTCCCTCTGAACCATCTGTGAGCATCTGTAAGCCTGAGCATGCACGGAGGACGTGGTCGGAGCTATGCAGGTAGATTTGTATACATGTACGTACCTCTGTGAGCTGACTGCAGGTGTGGAACTCTGGCAGTCCGAGGACATGTGTGGACAAGCTCACGCTGAACACACATGTGTGCCCATCGCGAGTGTCTGAAATATGTGGGTGCCTCTGACCATGTGCATGCGATCCTAAACATTTGGTCTGTCCCTCAACAGGTATGAGTGTGTGTGAGCGTGCCTCCGTGTGCTGAAGACACCCCGTGTGCATACCTTGGTGTGATAAGCACATGTAAGTGTGAAACACTGTGGGTCTGAGCAGGTGGGCGCCTGTGAGCAAGTGGGCAGGTGTGAGCTTGCTGGGAGCTCCATGAATGTATGTGCATGGATGTATGTGTGTGTGCTTCTGTGTGTGCATATAGATGTGTGCCTCTGTGGATCTGAGTCTGGGTGTGCACTTCCTATGTGCCTCAAGGGGCGCACACTCTAATCCCTACAGGGGCCAGGCCCACAACGTAATGCGTGGGTCAGGCTGGCTAAGACGGTGAGACATTACCCACAATGCAGAGCATGTCCCCACTAAAGGCACTCCCATTCAAAAGAATCTAAACACTGTGTCCGGCAAACAATACCCTTCTTTGACTAGATTGCCAACCTCAAGTGAAATACCCATGTTAGAGGATGATCTCACCAAGATGGGAGGAGGAGGAGGAGTGGGGCCTGGGGTCTGTGAAGGGGCCCAAGTCAAGGGAAAGGATGGAAAGCAAGTAGGGATGATCCCAGGCTTGACATCTGGACGCAGGGAGGAGGATCTGGCAGGTGGGAAGGATGCAAATGCCCTGGGGTCCCTGGGGTCAGTCCCTGGGTAGCCACAGTCTCCAGGCAGGCCTCTAACACTGACCTTGGAGCCCAAGGAGGCCTGGTCCTCGGCTAGAGGAAAAAGCCTCCCTGTACCGGGGGCACAAGAGGGCCTCTGGCTGGAGTCCCCTTTCCCTCTAAGTAGGGGGGTGGCATGGTCTAGATCAGCCTGAGGGGCTCTGGAGTCATCTTGATCTTCGCCTTGCCTCCCATCAGGATAAAAATTCAACTTTAAGCATTTCAGAGTGGCGCGAGTATGGAAATGCAGGCGTGTGCCATGCACATCTCGGGGAGAGCCAGGGGCGTCCGACGGCTTCCTCTGGAGGCTTAAGCGCGCACTCTGCCCTTAATTTGAAGCCATGTGCCGGGCTGCCCGCCGGCCTCTCCCTATCCCCCAGCTTCCATTCCTCCTCCACCCTCCATCCTCCCCTCATAGGCTTGGCCCTTTGACTGGGGGAGGGCAGCTGACCTGGCTACTTCAGCTTCTCCTTGCTCCCTTGTCCTCACACAGCCTAAGGGAGCTCGGCCCCCGGTGCACAGACTCAGTGCCACAGCTGGGAAGCTAGAACCTTGGTAGAGAGCGTGTGGCCCTGGTATGGCCCGGGATGTGCTGCAGGTCCCTGCACAGTGGCTGTCTGGCACAACACTCCTCTCCGTGGGGTCCAAGGAAAGCAGACCACTCCTCTCACCCCACAGCACCCCCCCAGAGTGAGCACATGTGTGCAAACACATGGGATGGGGCCAAGTGCCCTTCTCTCAGGACCCGCCAGCCCTATGTCCCCAGAGTCCTACCCCAGGGCTCTCATGGGGCCATTCATCATGGCCACTTTCGGCAGGCCCAGGCTCAAGGCACTGCTTCCACCTCCAGGAAAGCCCAGTCCTGACGAGTCAGAGGGGTGAAGCAGAGTCGAGGAGGGGAGTGCCATATTGAAGCTGCCAGATGTCCAGAACCTCCCAGAGCAATGGCAGAGCGTGACGGTGCATCCCTGAGCTGAAATGGCCTAGTGAGATGGAGCCAGATGGCCCCCCAGCAGAGGGGCCTCCCCACAGTGGAGGGTGTCTGTTCCAGAAAGCACCAGCTCTTAGCTGTGGATGGGGAGGCCTTTCCAACCCAACAGCCTACAGCTCCTCCAAGTGCCTCAGGGCCCAGGACCACCAAACAACCCTCTTCAGCTCTGGCCTACAGTGTCGGGGGGGCTGGGCCCCAGAACTGCCTCTGCCTTTGGTCTCTGGAACCTGAGCCTCTGCCCCAAGGCTCCATGGTTTTTCTTGCTCTCCCCACACTCCTTCCATGGTTGCAGCCTAGCCTCAGCTTGAGCATCTCCTCTGGGACTGGCAGACCCCCCCCCATACCCCCACCCCAGGCCAGATTCACAAGATATGCCCCAGTCATGCCTGCCCACCTCACCTGACTGATCACCTCCCCCAAACCTACAGGCATCCGCCCCAACCTCCAGCCTTCCAGTAGCAACAGCCCAGGTGCCATGCATTGCAAGGTAACCAGGAGAAGTCTCTGGAAACCCAAGCCAGGGATGAGGCTCCCACAGGCTCACCCAGGCCCACCACCAAGTCCCATGGTCCCTCGCTGAGAAATCTGGCCATATTCAGTCCTTCCTCCCTTCCCACTGCCAGTTGTAAGCACCAAGACCTCAGCTCCTCAGGCCCTCCCTCCCCCCGGCTCCTCTCAGCCACCCCAACCTGCTCAGGTGAGCAGCCCTTGCACCCACTGCACCACTCCACACCCCACACTTCTCAGTTGGCACTCAAGGCCCACCCTTCCTTTGCCAGCCGGGTCTCTCTCTGGGGCTGCACCCTTCTCTCCAACTGAAAGGATCCAGCAGAGGCCTGGAATGCCACCCCCAGGAAGCCTTCCCTCCCAGCCCTGCTCTCCTTCAATGGCAGGTGCTCCACTAGAAATCTAGACCAGACCTCAGGTCCCAGTCTCCCCAAGGGACCACACCTCCCAGCCACGCACTGCCTGGCACAGAGCTGCCGTGTGGTAGAACTGCCCCAGCTTGGCCTGGCAGCCCTGGCAGAGTGTCTGGCCACCTCCCTGAGACCGGGAATGAGCAGAGATCTCCTCTACTGCTGACCCGGGGAAAATCAGGCCTCAGGGACTGATGGGAGTTGCAGTTCTGGACCCAAAAGCTGATGGGATTTGTAGTTCCTAAGCTTGTGATCTCCCACCTACCCCCCCCTCCACCCCACACCCAATAAAGACTCATGAGAGCTGCAGTTACTCATCTCGCTAGGGAAAAGTCTCCCTCTTTCCTTCCCAGCATTCCTTGGCCCTGAACCCCAGGATCCCAAGCTAAGGACCTCACTACCTCGGAGGGCTGGGGCACCGAAGGGCCAGAAACTGCCTTGCCAGAGGGACAATTTGAGGGACCTGGAGGGGAATGGCAGGAAGGCAGAGGAAGCTATCGGGGAAAGGTAAGACCTGGCAGCAGGCCCCTTGGGCTCGGGCCAGGTGGCAGGGACAGTCGCCCCCCTCCCATCAGCGTCACCCGGGCCCGGGGCAGGGGAGGGGGGAAAGGCACTCACCAGTACTGGGCTCACACTCTTCCAGGTCCTCATCATCACTTGGACACTCGGCAGAGGCCACCAAGAGGTCATCCGTGTTCTGTGGGCAAGAGGAGAGAGGGGAAGAGGGTCCAGTGGTGGGTCAGTAGGCCCCAAAGCCACCTCTTGAGGTATGGCACCACACAGGAGATGGGTCCTGGTCACCATGGGACCAAGACACACCCTGGTCCGTGCCCCAGTTCTCCCACTGCTGGCTGGGTGATCGGGAGCCTCCTGTTCCCTGCTGTGCAAAGACAGACTGGCCAGCGCCCACCCTGCAGGAACTCCCACCGCTCCCGGGGACCAGTGAGACGGCACATCCTGTGTCTTTTATTTCTAGGAAGCCAGGGAGACTGGACGCTGGCCCTGGGGGTGCACGGCTGGAGCAAGGGGGCCCAGGGCATCGGGGAGATGAGGCATGGGGGCCTCTGGAGGCCAGCACAGACAGAGAAGGGAAGCAGGACCTGGGGTGGGGGGTGGCTCCTGGCTCCAACCTCACTATCCCACCACCCTCATCTCTCTCCCAACCCCCTTCCCAGAGCCCGGAACCAGGCTGCACACAATAATTAGGGCTGTGGTTGCCATGGCAACGGGAGTCGACTTTGTCAGCATTTTCTCTCCTCCTGATTGTAAAGAAAGAGAATCCCCAAGATGAGTGAATGTAAGGGGGCGGGGAGGGGAGCACGCTCAGGGTGTGTTAGGGAAGAGACCCAAGGAGGGAAACCCAGAGTCCAGGCAGGAATGGTGCCCAAGAGACTGCAGGGTGTGGGGAGAGGGCTCCTGAAGGCCAAAGGTGGGAGGAGTCTGGGGTGGGGAGGGGTGAAAGGGTCACATGGTGCCTCTTCTCCACTCCCGCACCCCCATCCCAACCCCTATCTTCGAAGACTGGTTTTCCTTGGGCGTCCTTGCCCCCCAGCACCCCCCATCCTGTGGGGGCTTCTCCAGCACAGCTGTGACCCCGAAGGCCCCCGCCCCTCTCTTCCATCTGGATGGTCAGTCCATCGCCCTCCCACTGAGACTGGGGGGCCCTTCTTGCCTCTGGACACTGGGCATAGTCGGTGCCCAACCTTGGGGCTCCCTGCTCCCTGGGGCAAGGTCTGGCCTTCGGGGGCCCTAGCTTTTCTTGCCCGTGAAGGCAGAGGGGAAGGGGGTTCAGACTTCTTTCTCCCGCCTGCATGAGGGTGTCAGCAGCGCCAGGCCACCTATAGCACAGACTGGCAGGGCTGAGGGGACTTACAGACAGTGAAGGCTGGTGGAGTTGGGGCCCAGCCCCCAGGCTGCCCCCATACTTCTCCCTCACCCCAGCAGCACAGATTTCTCTCCAGACACAGAGGCTCAACAGCCATGGGTGAGGAAGGACAGCAGTAGCTTGGGCAGGGGGGCTGGGGTGACCGAGTAAGGTCTACCACACCAGGTGTGAGCCCTCCCTGGGCCACAATCATTGAAGGCACAACCAGAAAACTCAGCCGGGCCCCGAGTTGCCTCCGTAAGTCACACATGCCCAATTGGCTTTTGGCACCTGGAGAGCCAGGCCTATCCTGCCCCGTGAGAGCCTCATTCCCCAGGTTCGACCCCCCCTCCGTGTACAAGAGAAGATCAACTCAAATCACTTGGGCTTGACCTGATCCAGAGAGAGCACATGAGCAGGTGGGCAGGCAGTGCGGGGGGTAAAGCACCAGGGAACTGTCTGAACCAACACCCCCTCTGACCCCCAGGCATAGGGAACCCTGAGGCCTGCTGGGCGGGGGACACCTGCTCAAGGTCACGAGGAGAGGATGCGAGAAGGCAGTGGGCTTGGAGTCCCACTATGAGGACACCGGCAATCCGGGAGACACTGTTCCGGGCCTCAGCCAGCCTCCAGAGAGCGGCGGCCACCCCCAGCTGAGCCTCTGGCCCCTCCAGGGCTGTCTCCTGGCCAGAGCAATGCCATCCTGGTTGTACGCATCTCCCACTCACTGCCCACACCCCACGGGGCCTGGCCTCTGGTATGGGGCAGGCAGACGGGTCATTCTACCTTCACTCCAGTCCAGAGTGGACTCTTAGGCAGTCTTCCCTGGTCTAGCTGGAGTACCAAACCCCCCCTTACCACTGGGCCTGACCCCTAGAAACAGTAACCACCTTCCCACGTACAACATCCCTGGTCACCAGGGCAAAGGCCACTTCGTGAAGGGAGGCCTTTCCCACCTCACCTGAACCATCACCATGACAAGGATGAGAAGGAGCCTCCAGGACCCCACCAGGCCCCTCAGACCCTCCCCTGGGTGCCACAGTTGTTACGTAGACATCAGCCCTGTCCCCCACCCGAGGCCTCGCTCCTCGTCCGTCAGCCCCAAGGGTCCTCACCTGGGTGGTGCTGTCCCTCAGCGTGGGGGAGCGGCCCCGGCGTGTGGTCGTAGTAGCCATGGTGGTGGTGGTCTCCATGATGGTGGTGGCCATGTCGGCCAGCAGGGTGGTGGCCGTGGTCTCCGCACTGAGCAGCACGGACGGCCCCTCCCCCACCAGGCGCAGGTGGCCCTCGGTCCGCACATTGGGGTCGCTCTCGGCGGCCAGCGCCAGCACCTTGAGCCCATTGTAGTAGAGGCCGGACACCTGGCCCTGGAAGGGGCGGCCCTGATCCCGGCCCCCGATCTTGATGGCAGCCTGGCTGTTGAAGATGGTCAGCTGGCGGCCTGGTGGGGAGGGGAGTTGGTGGGGGCGGCAGACAGAGGAGGGGCAGGCAGCGGGGAGAGATCAGAGAGGGATGGGGAGAACAGAGGGAAGCCAAGGGAAGGAAAGAGGATCGAGAGGGAAACCAGCAGCGGGGCAGGGGTGGGGGGTTGGAGAAACGAGGAAGGGGCAGACACCAAAGGGAAAGTCCTCGTCAGCCACAGCCCCCAGCGCAGCCAGGTGGGGACCCCAGAGGGGGAGGGTCCCCAAGGCACACATGGGCTGGGAAAGGGAGTCCAGCTCCCCCCTCTCCCCGCCATGCTCATGCCTCTGACCTTCCCACCCCCTCTCCTCTCCTGCTCCAGGGGCATCGCTCCCCCCCTTCTTTCCCTTCCCTCAATTTGATCCCCATCTTCTCCCTCTGCTTTCCCAAACGTGCCACACCCGGTGTCCCCCCCAAGCCATGGAGCCCTCAGAAGCAGCAGACAGAGGAGACAAAGAGGCAGAGACAGAGAAGGGGACTGGCAGGCTGAGTGGTCAGCGCGTGTCAAAGCAGAGAGGGAGGGGACACCGACGTGCCGGAGGTGAGGATGGTGCGCGGGAGGAGGGCTGGCGTGCGTGAGGGTGGGAGCAGCCACGCAGACCCCACTCTGCCCTGCCAGCCACCACCAAGCCCTCTGACCTCTGGCCAGGCTCCCCTCTCGCCTCCCCCCTCCAAGGCCCAGCTGCTGCCCCTGCCCAGGGGGGACCAGGCCCTGGAGAGCAGAGGCCTTCCTCCCCGCCAGGATGTGCAAGCACAGAGATGGAAAACGTTAAAGGGACCTTGCTTCGCTCGCTGACAGCCAAAAAAAAACCCGCTCCAGCTCCAATCTCGCTCCCCACTCAGCAGTGACACCTGAGCATTCCCACCTGGGTGGGGTTCGGCTGTTCTTTTTGGTTTTAGTGGATCTGGGGGTCGGTTTAACCCTCTGAGTTTGTTGCTTTGGTTTGGTTTTTAGAAAAGATATTTATTATGTTTAAGTTTAGATTTAACTTTGGTTTTTGGTGTTACTTATTTGGGGAGGAGGAGGGGCAGAGGAGCTACTCCATTGCCCCCCCCCCCCGCTCCCCTGGACCTTCCCTGCGGGTGCTGGGGGATTTAAGACCTGGCTTAGCCCTCGTTAGCCTCTGGTTAGTGCCTCGTTAAAGATCTGGTTTAGAGTTAGGTGTCTGTATGCCCTGCCCCCAAAACCTGGGCTGAGGATAGTCCAACTTGTGAAACCCACACCCTCTTTGGAAACACAGGTTCCCTGGGCCACCCAACCATCTGACCGTCCATGGCGGGGAATCTGCTCAGCCCTCCGCTCAGCCTCTCCCCCCCTCCCCCCGCCCGTGCCCTCCCACTGCCCAGCTCCTTACTCTGCCCTGGAGCAGCGGCACCCTCTTCCGAATGGGGGAACCGGAGGCCACAAAAGCTGAGCACTAGTTAGTAGCAACTGGAATACCAGACCCAGAGAGGTGCCTGAGGACTACCGCGTCCAGAGATTACTCCCAGGCATAAGAATTAGGAGACAGTGAAGAGGAGAAGGCTCACACAGTGGTTGAACACGTTGGGGAAGCAAATGCTTCACAATTAAACGACAGGTTTCTTTCTCACAGGACTTCTCAGTGCCTTTATTAAACCAACGTCCACATGCATCTCCAAGAGGAAGAAACGGGATTCAGCATTTCCCAAGCTCATTTTACCACAATCTCTTTCTTGGGAAGCCTCTCATGGGACTTGCGCTTCACCGGACATGTTTTAGAACTGGAAATTGACTCATTCGATAAATATTTATTGAGCACCTACCACATGCCAGATGCTGACAGTAAAATAATCCCTCCAAGAGAGCCTTCTTAAATACTTTCCTGCTCTTTACTTCATCTCAGTCTCCCAGCAGCCCCCACGAGACAGGCTGAGGGGGCTGAGGGGGCTGACCCCTCCTGAGAAAGGGGAAGTGAGCTCCTCCTTCCACACTCTGGGAAATACCAGAGCATTTTGCCCAATCTTTCACTTTCCAGAAGCGGAAGTCGAGGTCTAAAGAGAGGGTATGGCCCCGCAGCTAGGGAAGGACCACTGGGGTTCACCATCACCTGAATGCAAAGCCCCACCACCCCTCCCCCCACAAGGACCTGTCCAGCTCTGCCTACCTGGGGTCACAAGTTGTCCCAGCCTCAGCCCAAGCTGCTCCCTTGGCCTCTCTAATTCTGGGAGAGGGAGTTGGGTAATGGAGAGGAAGCTACACAGGTTAGCGAACTTGGCCCCTGCAGCCCCGCCCGCCATGAACTCCTCAAAGGGTTAAAGTTCGCCCCGCTGGAGAGAGCAACCCAGTGCGGCTGGGGGCTGTAGGTTTTAGCGATGTCTGTTACAGTCCCTTTAACTTTTTGTCCTGTTATGGATTTATCACATCTGGTTATCAATATGTTTAGTCCCCGCTGGCTGTGTGGGGGGCTGGAGGTGACATTTGGGGGTTTTAGCTGGGGCAGGCCCCAGTGGACATTTAAAAGCACAGTTATCAGCTGGTTAGGTGGGGGTTTAACAGTGCTACTTCCCCCCTAGAGTTTAGCCTTAGAGGTACAGAGCTCGCCCCCTCTCCGAAGGGAATGGGATGGCTTTGCCCTTGGCCCCAACTTCCCTTGGTGACAAGTGGCCTTCTCCCTCACACCCAGCAGTGCCTCGCCACTCATCTAGCCTGTTCTGTCTTCCTCATCCGAGCAGCCAGCACAGAAAGCCCTGTGGGATGGCTGCCCCTGCTCCTACCTCCTAGTTTCTCCCTACCCCCGCCTCTGTTTACTTCCGAGAGGCCTTCCGGACCAACGTGGGCCCATTCCAGAGACAGTGTCCTACAGCCACTCCCTTGGGTGGGTGGGTGGGGGTCTTCCAGTAGGATGTGAGGCCCCCCTCCCCCGCTTCCCTTTCCTCCTAGGATGACCCCAGTGAAGCCTTCCCACCCTCCTTTTGGATCCTAGGATCAGCACTTCCTGCTTCTCAGCGCTCTGTGGCCCTCTGGACGGCCCTTCACCAAACCCTGCTCCCGATCTACACCCTAGCCTGCTTTACCAGGTTTGGGAGGCTCAGCTCGTGGATTATCCTAGCCCATCCCAGCTTTGGAAAGAGCCCAAGGACTCTCCTTCTTCTGAGCAAATCCCAGCCCTGTCCAAAACCACAACTCTACTTCTAAAGACACAGATGATTGACTCCGGAGAGGAAAGGGGGGGCATCCCAGGGGGATCATCAGGCCTCCGCTAAGGGGCGGGCGACGGGGAAGGCACGGTGGGGAAAGAGAGAGCTCTGCACCTTTAAGATAGTGTTTTTAAAGTTAATTAATTAATTAATTAATTCTGGTTAATTACCTTTGTCGAGCAGCCACTCATCTACTACTCGACCAAGCCGGTAGGGGATTCTCTGTCTAGCAATCGCCAGGCGCTCGTTATCAAAGTTTCCTTGGAAAAGTTTAGAAAGACAGTAGGTTTCTCAGGCGGCGAAGTCCAAAGGAGTTAGCAAAGTAATTACGCGTTTCTCAGGAGATTCAGAGTAAAGCAGCAACATCCACCGGAAAGGGGGGAAGGTCCACCCAAGGCGGGAGAAGAAGCGCTGGGTCCCTCGTCCTCCCGTCCCCTCCCTAGGCTCCCGTCCAGAGCCAGCCCCACCCGAGGGGCATGAGTGACCCAAACAAAAAGACAGGGACATAGAAGAAAAGGAAAGGGGACCGAAAAGAAAAGGCAGCTGGAAGGTCAAAGGTCAGAGGTTAAACAGGTTTATCTGTGTTCAAGCTGTTGTGCCCACCTTCCTTCCCCATCCCAGAGTGGGGCAGTGAGGGCAGGGAGGGGCATTTAGCAGGTTTAAGTTAGGGGGTGGGGGGCCTCAGTGGCCCAGCTGGTTACTGAGTTTAGAGGGTGGTTTAGAAGTGGGAGGGATGGGTTAAGTGGGGTTTATGCGGCATTTAGGGGGTGGCCCGGCACTCGCACTTAACAGTGACATTTAAACCACTTCTCCAGGCACTAAGCTCCCTTTCCCTTCCGTGCTCAGCTCCCCGAGGCGCGTTCTTTGCCAGTTCACCCCGCACCCCTACCCCACTGGCTTCCACCCCCATCCCTCCCTCCCCAAAGGGTCCACCCCTGCAGCCTTGCCACCCTGCCCGCCATCCCTACAGGTCACCCCGCCACCCCGCCGCCCCACCCACCCCTCTGGCCTTCTCCACCTCTCCTGCAGCCATCTCTTCCACACCTCTAAGCCTGCCCTGGTTCCCTCCCCACAGGCCCCCCCCAAGCCCCTCTGTCTGGCGGCTCTCTCCCCCCATCTCAGCCTCATTCCAAGACCCTCAGACTTGGCTCTACTCTGGTCCCCTTTTGTCTCTGCCCTGGGGACCCAGCCCAGCTCCTGACGCCCTGTCACTCACTAGCCTTTCTCCTTCAGGCTCCTCCCCCCAATCCCTAACCCCACCCCTTCTCCACCCTGCCTGTCCCTCTCTCCACTCACCATTGTCCAGGCCCTGGAGATGGGGAGCAAAGATTGTGTATGTGTGTGTGTGTGTCTGTGTGTGTCTGTATGAGAGAAACAGACTGTGGAAAGGGGTTTGTCAGTGTGCCTAGGAGTTCGGTGTGCTCCTCCCTGCACCCACAGGCTGTGGATTATCCTAGTCTATAGCAGTGGAAATGGAAATGATTTCCTTTGGGGGAATCTGGCCACTTTTCCCATTGAAACCACATACAGTGTTCAATAACGTGTTGGCGGGGGTCGGGGGGGGCAGCTTTCCTGCTCCTCTCACACTGCACGGCTGTGTGTGCCCCCAGTGAGGCCTGGGCCCGGGCCTGCCGTGGACATCTCCCATGAACAAGCACACGACATGTCCGTGTGTGTGCACGGCTGCTGCCTCCCTAGATGCTTCTGACACAAGACCTTGCCTTCCCTACGGATTTAGGTCACTAGTGTTTCAGTAAAAATGGACTGTTCACTCGTTTAGTCACTCAACAAACATTTCTTGAGTGCCTGCTCCATTCCTCATGCTGGGTATTGGAGATGCAAAGACGAAGGCTTGGCCCTTACCCGCAGAGTGCCCCAGCCAAGCAGGGGAGACTGGCAAGTGACCAGCAGTGTTCTTTGTTCTGCTAGAGGTGGCACAGGGCATCCCAGCCTGGGGGTGGGAGTGAGAGGGACCAAAGAAGACACTGGAGGAGAGGTGAAGGGGCCAGAAGGGAGTCAGGCAAAGAGCCAGAGACTCAGGAGGGCAGGAGGCTCTTAGGGACCTCCCGTGTGTGTCTCTGTAGCTGTCCCTGTGTGTGTCCCAAGAGGAAGGGAAGAATGTACATCTGCCTCATTGGGGCACATAACAGTTCTAACCAAAGTTCTGTTTGTTGAGCACTTCCTCTATGCCATGCCTTTCTAGTGCTTTCTTGGGTTATTACTATGAGGTGCCTATTATCCCTATCTTTCAGAGGTGGAGACAGATTCACAGAGGCTGGATGACTCGCCCAAGGCCACATGACTTGTCAGTAGGAGGTCCAGGATTAAAAGGACTCGGAGTCTAAGAGCTGAGTCTCTGTGCTCCCGAAAAGTCTGGAGGCCCAGGCTCTGCGCCGGTGCCGCCTGCCAACCCAGCCCGCCAGTGTGGCTCAGGATGACATTTGGCTTTCGTCGACCATCTGCCCTCACACTGCACACAGGCAGGCACCAGGTTACCCTGGTTTGCAAGTGAGGGGGCACCCAGCAGTCTTCCCCACCCCCCGCCAGGGGTCCCTGATCAGAAGAGAGCATGCATGAACCCTCCAACCTGGCCTCTGGCCTGCTGGGCCCCAAGGGAAGAAGCTCTGGACCCGAGTCATGGCTTGATGTGGTGAAGCCTTCACGTCCTCCCAGTACAACCCTGTTCAGCCCAGGCTGGAGTCCTCACTGTTACCAAAGTTGCCCTCACGTGTGTGTGGCTGAGAGAGAGAGAAGACTGATGGCCGTAGGGTAATCACACCTGCACAGCCTAGCCTGTGCACCTGCAAGACTTCACACAGGAGTGTTTGTGTGCCTCAGCGACCCCACACATGCCCAGAACCTGGGTGTAGGCTGGCGTCCCTCAGCAGGGCTCGTGTTGCTCCTACGTCGGTCTGACCTCACAAGTCTTTGCAGTCATCCATGTGTCTGTGGCTGGCCTGTATGTCCGTTAGCCTCTGTATTTCTTGGGGGGGGGGGAGTGGTTCTCTTTAGCTCCAGAGAGGGTTGAGCACAAGCCTGCACGATGGGGAGCTGGGTAAGTGGGCCCATGAGGGGTTTGTACACCTGCACCTTTCCCTGTCCTTCTGCCCACACCCTTCTCAGCCAGCGTGGGGCAGCCTCTCTGCCCCCGCCTTGGCTGTAACTTCTGCCTCAGAGAGGGACTGAGGCTGCAGATGCTCTCCCTTCTCCTCAGTCGCCCCCATGTGTGACTGTGAGGGGTCGCTCAGCCAGATCATACCTCCGCAAGTCTGCATTTCTGCAGTTCTCCCCTGCAGTGGCTCCCTTCCCCTCCCCCTCGGTCTCCCACACTGGGCTCTCCTCCTCTCCTTCCCAAGGCTCTGTCCACCTCTTCTCCCACTGGCTGGGTCTGTGCCACAGCATCTCCATATATCTCTCTGCATCACTCCGGGGCTGCCTCCGTCTCTGCTCCTGTCCCAGTGACTGTTCCCATATCTCTCCATCGCCCCTCCCCTGGCTCCCCCGCACTCTGAGGCTCTTTCTCTGCCTCCTCATCTCTCCTATGTCCTCACCCCCTCCCTCCCCTTGCTCCTCAGACCTTGGTTTGTCCTGGGCCACCACAGCCATCACACTGTGTGACGCTGTCGAACGGGGTCCGTTTGCATCCCCGTGCTCCCCCCTCCTAGACTGCGAGCTCCCTGCAAGCAGAGGCTGTGTCCTGCTCCCCTGTGTCGCCCGAGCCTGACACCTGGGAGGCTCCCTGTAAAGCTCTGTGGAATGTGCTTGCACCCTTGTCACTTGGCATTCTCTCCCTTTCACCATGTCCTTTATTCCCTGAGACACTGGGGTTCCTTTTCTCTGAGCCTCTGTGGTCACTTCTCTTCCTTTATCTAGATCTCCTGATATGGATCTGATTTGCTCTTTGTAGACTTTGGTTCATTCCTTGGTTCTGTCCTTGGGATCAGGCCTGCCTCCTCGCAGAGATATATTTTGGGTTACTGATGGATCTCTCTTTGGTTTCTGCATCTGCCTCCTCATTTCTGCCTGTCCCTCAATTCTAAACCCATCCTTTGCTCAGTCGTGTCAGACTCTCCCTACTTCTACCCCTCTTCCTCTTCTCTTCTCCCCCACCCCCACCTGGACCCTGGCCTTGCAGCCTTCCCAGCTCAGCTCCGCCCTCTCCCTCCTAGCCCACAGACTCCCACCACCGAGGTCTAGCTCTGTCTTGCGAATCCCGAGGCTTCTCTTTAGCCACGCCCCCGTCGGGGTCCCCACTAGCCTTGCCTTTCCCGCGGCCTCACCCCAGCCCCAGCACGGCCAGAAACCTCTCCGCTTAGTCCCGCCCCCGGTGCAGGCAGCGATCCTATCAGAGGCCGCCTTGCCCGCCCCGCCCCGCCCACAGCACCTCCTCCGCGCACCGGCACCGCCTACCTGCCGGGTACCGCTCATTGACGGGCCAGCTGTCCACCTGCAGGGTGGCGTTGCCGCCACTTCGAGTGAAGCGCACCACGTGGTATTTGCCGTCGCTCACGATGGCGTTGGGCTCATCGATGGTAATGTCGTCCGTGCCCACATTAAAGATCACCCCCACGGTGCCCTGGTCCTGGGGACAAGGAGGTAGCGGTCAGCAACCGGGAGGGAATAACAGTTCACTCTTTCTAGAACTCCACCTGTAACCACCACTGACCCAGATCTGTGGCACTTCACAGCTTTAAAACGCACATCTCCCCGTCATGCCTTTGCTGACCCTCTCACCTGCCCAAAGAGGTAGGCAGGCTTGCCTCTCTCCCACATGCAGGCATGGGAGTGACCTGAGATTCAGAGAGGTTGGGACCACGGTGGGGTGCAGAGCCTGGACCGGGAGCACTTCCACTAACCACACCTGCCTCTTGCCTTTTGGTTCGTTCAGAATATTCACAAATGTTTACAGGGCACCCATTCTGTGCAAGGGCCACTGAGCCCAGGCCCCAGACATGGTGGCTAGGACCAAGCTGGGGGCCAATGGAAGCTCAGAGGGTGGAGGATTCCCTAGGGCACGACCAACACTTTCCTCCATGTCGGAGGAAAGACTGGCCTCCCTGCTCCCTACCACCCACAGCCTCGAGCCTCCCCTTCCCTGCACGCTCAGCACTGAACAGGTCCCCCGGGGCCCCTGCACTAGGGCATCAACATGCTTCTGCTGGCAGCTCATCAGGCCCCATGTTGGTCAGGCCTGAGTGTGAAATCATAGGAGCAGAGGCAGGGTCTGAACTGTGTATTTTGGGGGGTGACGAGTATGGAAAGAGATCAGGGAGACAAACCAAAGTAGATTTACTAAGGAAAGATGAGCGTGTGGGTATAAGGGGTAGACGATGGGGCTGGGAGCTGAGGAAGGACACAAGAAGAAAGTGAGAGACCCAGGCCTGGAGAAGGGGAGCAAAGAGTCAGTCTCAGCAACCTCTGGGACCTAGGGTCCCAGGCTCTGGACACGGCAGGGCCTGGGGAACCCTGCAGAGGATCCAGCCCCAGAAGAGTTCTGTTGATGGCACCAGCGTGAGAGGAAGCACTTCACCAAACCCTAAAATGAGCCGGGCCCTCTCTTCTCTTCATTCCCACAGCAACCCTCTCAGGAAGCTGATGGCATTCCCAATTCACCAAGGAGAAAACTGAGGCTCAGGGAGGTTGAGCAACACCCCCAAACCCACATCACAGGAAAAGAACCCCAGATTTGAACCCCAGTTGGCCTGACTCCAAAGCCAGTGCGCTCTCCCTCCCACTGGTCTAGGGAGACACTGACTCAAACTGCAGGGGGATGATCTGAGCAGCTACTAAGGCCAACCCACCTGAGAGACCAAAGACACCTACCTAAAGAAGCCAAGGGAAGGCCCAGGAGGCCCTAAACCTGAGCCCCCATTCCATTCCCATGCACTTGCTGGCAACACTTGAGCTCAGCCTCCTGAGTCCCCCAAAGCCCGCCTCCTGCACAGGACAGACACCCACACAGGCTCACTTAGGCCCCCTGAATCACACACAGTCATGGGACCCAGATCATCAGAGAATACACACACTCACAGGTCTCCCTGAAAGACTACCCCAGTCCAGCCTGGGCATGAGGGCCCATTCACCTGCCAACTCCTCATCCAACAGAGCCAAGCAGCTTGGTGGCACTGAGGATGGGATGCGGGGCTCACAGATGGGGCGGGGACTGGGGTTTTGCAGAGAGCTGGGCACAGGGTGGGCAGCTGTGGCTCACTTGGGAGATCCAGGCCTGATCCCTTCCCCCCTCGTGGGTCCAGTTCTCCCCCTCCTAGAACCTGGGAAAGCCCCCGCCACACACACACACACACACACACACACACAGAGTCATACACGCATGCAGCATCTCTCCTCAGGTGCAGTAAAGCAGGGAAACTGAGGCCGGGCTCGCCTAACAAAGAGTACTCACAAGCCCCACGCACCCACCACCCACAGACTGACAACATCCCAGGGAGACTGGATGATCACATGCTCCCCACACACATGAGGGAAACAGCCGATGCTCCTCAGTACTATTATTAGCGATAACATCACCCAGAATAGCATCAGCCCCTTGGATGCCTCGGGGGCTTTCTCCCCGTGAGGCTCAGGCCAGGCGGTGATGGTGGTCAAGGAGTAGAGGCCGCCTGGGAGCTGGGGTGCCAGGGAGGCCTGCCGGGGTGACTGGAAGGCAGGACACCTGGGTTTTCTAGGAGGCAGCCGAGCTCAGAGCCATACGCTCCGGGGGAGAGGCAGCTCCCAGAGCTGCTCCCGTCGTGAAGTCAGTTGTCACTTCTGTTAAAGTCATTAATTCCTAATTCCCCAATTACCTCATTAGGCGGCAGTGGGGAGAACGCGGCCGCTCCTACAGCAAATAATTATGGGAGTCAAAATTAATTTGGCAAAGTGGAGCGACGCTTTATTAGAAACGTCAAATTGCTTTTCTCTTATTTTGCTGCCGCCTCCCCACTCTCTGAGATCTGCTAGTGACTCGGCAGCAGGAGCTGGTGTGTTCCCAGGAGAGGAGTGGCTTAGGGGCTGCCCCCCAGGGGCTTCAGCGCTGCTGGCCGGCCTGGCGCTCCCCTCAGAGCTGGCCTCTCCTGGAGCTCCCACCCTTCCTCTGGGGCCCAGCCCTCACCTGGCGCCCCACCCCTGCCCTCTGCAGCACCAGGCCTCATCCCTCCATAACCCTGAGCCAGGTGAGGCCTGGGGGACGCAGGGAGAGAAGAGGGGGTCCCTTCTCCCTGCACCCCGAGCCCCTATGCTGTCTCTTCAGCACTGAGGAGCCCTGTCTCCTGACCCCACAGGCACAAAGACCTGCAGGAGTGTTCAACGAGGCAGATGCAGAGCACAGGCAGATCTGGAATCCCAGACGCTCGGGGTGGGGCTGATACTGAGCGCTTCCTGCAGGCCGGGCCGTGTCCTGAGGGCTTGACACACACAGTCTCACTGGAACCTCACAGACTCCCTTTGTCCTTTTACCGTCCTGTTATCGGGCCACTCCACAGATGAGGACACTGAGGCTCGTGGGGTGAGTGCACGAGGCCAGAGCAAGGGAGTGACAGCTGAGACTCAAGCCCAGGCCGTCAGCTCCGAAGCCATGGCTGAACTCTCGCGAGTGTGCGGAGACAGAGCACAGCCCTCACTCCCAGACAGGGCCACGGGGACACAGCCACACCCGCCACAGGGCCAGGAGACTGGAGTAACAGCACATACCACTCCGCCGGGGAAGGCCCACAGGGAGAGGCACACGCGATCAGAGGCCGCGAGCCTCTCCCCCACGGTCCCTCGAGGTCCCACTGTCACTCCTGACACCATCAGTAAGCACCCAGCCCCACACGCCACACACACTCATGTGTGCCATCCACAGCCACGGTCTCTCATCTCCAGCCGGAGACACTGTCCTGCTCACACAGGCACGAACCTTCCAGGCCTTCTCCCCCAGCGACTCGCCCCTCTGCACCCCTTTCCTACACGCTTCTCTGCCTGGCCTCCTCCGTCCAGCACCCGGCAGCTGCCGCTCCCACTCCAGCTCCACTCCGCCCACGGGACATCTCACACCTCCTGCCTTTGCTCCCTGGTGTTGGGGGAGGTGTGTGCAGCCGGGGGACCCTGAAAAGCTGATGTGCACGGAGGGGCCAGTTGCCACGGTCCAGTCAGATGGGGAGAGGCCAGAGCTCAAACATGCTTCCTCGGTCCCCCTAAAGCCCGGGGCCCCCTCACCCAGATCTTTCCAGCACAGAGAACCTGGCCACCTTGCTCGACCCCCCGGCTCAGGGGGTCCTGGCCATGGTCAGCACGTGGGATGTGGGCAGCAGGGGACTTACAGGTGGAAGTGCAGAGTGAGGTCAGAGGCCCAGGGGTTAAGACCATGAGAAGGGGACAGGGGAGAGGCTAAGTGCAGAAATGAAACAGAGCAAGGCCTGAGGCCACTGGGAAGAGTGTGGGGTAGGACTAGAGATGGGGAAAGGGTCAAGGAAGGAAAGGGGCTACCTGAAGACCAGAGTTAAGATGAAAACTGAGAGGAGCCGTGAATATGGTGGGGGGGTGGTGGTCAGGGCATGGTATGACAGGGGGTTATGGCAGGTAGGGCATATGGTGGGCAGGGGGGTATGATGGGTAGGGCATATGGTGGGTAGAGGGGTATGGTGGGCAGGGGGTATGGCAAGAATGGCGGGTATGCAGGTAGGGTGGGTAGGACATATGGCGAATGGGGGTGTATGGTGGGTAGGGGGTATGGTGGGTAGACGGTATGGTGGGCAGGGGGGTATGAATGGTGGGTATGGCAGGTAGG